AAAAAAAAAAATGAAAAATCGGATATGTGAAAAATACAACCCCACATTGCTATTGTATGGTGTAATTACTTCAGTTGCGCCAGTTCTGATTCGGTTCATTCGCGCTGGTATTGGAATAGCAGTGGCATAAGCTAACTATTAAAGTTCAGACTATTCATAAGCTAACTAATAAGCAAGAAATAAAAAAACTACATCCAGAATTTAATATAGAAGGCACAACAACTGGAAAAACAAAAGGCACATGAGCACTGTAGATTTTGTAACAACCTCGTACCTCTTATTAAGTTCTCTGTCAACCCAATATTATCTATAATTCAGAGAGAATGAGCTGTTGTAAAGAGCTTTTATTGCTTTCACCAAATTTTTTTTCAATGAAGTCAATAAATATATCCATAATTTAAGGACAAATCCACAAAGAACGAGGCATACAGATCATGATCAAAGAATCCTCATATATTATGTAACGTTCCCAACACTTAAAATAGTTTCTATCAGGTCTTAATAGGATATCCAAAACAATTAAGTTATTGAATATCACGATATTTTCCTTTTTTAATATAGAAAAAACCTCAAATCAGCTTACAGCCGTAGTCACACTTATGTACTAATTGGATATGTGAGAATGAAGATTTGAATGCTAATAATAGAAAACTAAAACCAGAAAGATTTTGTGTGTTCTCAATATTTCCTAGACTTTCTATCAAGTACATACAGGGCAACAAACTTGTCATGAACAATCGAATTTTTTAATCGAACCACAACTTCCCGGTTATAACAAGTGTCACATCCTGAATGTGATGAAATCCAATGCACATAAACAAGAACTTGCAAAACACGTATAAACAAGAAATTGAAAAACACGCATTGAAGTTTACCAAACAATGAGAAGAGCTAAATTTTTAATATTTAGGAACACAAAGATTTGCACAATGGGTCTGATTATTCCTAATGAAAATACAAGTAGAAGATTCATGGTTTTGACATACAATTTCACAACTATAAGCGTTTTCGGGTTAGAAGTTGTCTGGCTTGTTGATAAGAGTGCTTTAAAACAACACCAAAACTCATTCTTAAACTGTAGTCCTCTTGTAGGGTTATTGAGTGTAAGCTCAACATGCATCCGCTTAGGGCCCCACGTATTTAGGTTGTGACTGGATATATAATTTTTTCGAAAAACTGATGTCCTGTACCAAACACAGAGATGGAAAAGCGGAAAAATATGTTTCTAGAAAAATTGAGATAGTTTTAAGACTGTGAACGAATATAAGACAAAAATGTAATGATTGGAGTTGATGCGATATAAAAATAATAAAATACTAGTTGGTACTGATTTGTAGGAGAAATATGAGAGTATGTGAATAGTTCTAAATTTTTTATTTGAATCTAAGATTAATTTTTCAAACTTATGTAACAAGTTAAATACCACTTAATTTAATTTACAAAAAAAAAAATATATAATAATCATCTTGTTGTTCATGATTTCCACCTTGTTCAACAACTCAGCCCAATGGCTGCAGGTGGCAATGGTCAACTCGGTTTTCAGCTGGGCCCATTTCTAAAATCTTGCTTAGGGCCCTTGTGAACCATTGATCCAGCCTTGTCCACTTGGATTAGTCTTATTCTACAATGAGAGAAACACGATCCAGTTAGCATGATGAGAGCAACACGATCTCAATTTGACTCTA